AAAAGTAGTGAATGCAGATGTCTAAGTTATTTAGTAGATTAAAATACATTACCCATCTTTATAGATAGCTTGATGGCAGTGAGGTGCAAAATTCCAATATTTCTTTATTCGGTCGTGTGTGTGTGTGTGTGTGTCTGTGTGTCTGTAATTATACCATATGTTAAGAAATAAGTTTAATACCATTACAAAGCAATTAAAAACATATATTATGTACTGTAAACTTTAACTAAAACTAAAAACTACATACATATGTATATGTATACTATAGGAAATGTAAGTGTCAACGCAAGTAATGACTGTTCAACAGTCTACACAGACACAGAGAGTACGAGAAGTAATTAAATAACCACACCTATGTAACCTCAATAATTTGAATGCCATATCCAAACTCTAAAGGTTGATCGTGACCCCATCAACCAACCCTTTGATCCCAACCACTGACGCTTTCAAGCCTTCATGGAGGCTTTAATCGCAAATCAGCAGCACCTATGTGATTAATCTTAGGTAAATTAATTACCCCTAACCTTCATACTTCACGGTTCACATGTTTAGGCAAACTGCCGTGGCTTGGGAACCCAATGTGTGGGAGGTCTAAACGATAAGCGGTAGCGAGTATTGGTTTCATTTTTGCTCGCGTTATTTTATTACGGTACGTGTTTCATTGCAAATTTCTTACTTCAGATCAAACTGTCTGAGTAAATTATACCAATTTTAATATAATAGCATTAATTTAATAACATTTTGAGATTGTCTAATAGAAAAAAAATCTGGTTTGAAAAAGAACGATGTTGCGCCGTCTCTATTAGGGAAATGTATAATCCCTTAGTTGGGCGACTAACACCTAAAGATAAATTGGAGATGGTGGCAAATATACCTACCATTTCTTTACCATCGTCATCTGAATCATTTTATCAATTCACATTAAATTTACCTACATCCATAAAAAAGTAAAAATGTAAACACGCCGTCAGCTCCGCACTTGTACCGCAGACGTAGGCCGCCATTTCTCATCATGACCTTCCTAGCGACAAGGGTGGCTTTGTTTGAGATATAATGGTGGGAACCATTTAGCTGGAAAATGTGCCTGGAAGCCTCATTCCTCTGTATTATGTTCGCAAGTACGTAACCTAGATATTTGTACTGAATTATTGTCTCTACATCCGCGATATTGTTAGATTTATATACATTGTATTTCTGACATTTGTAAGTCAAGTATGTTTTGAGGTTATGCCGCATTAACACATGTGCTTAATGGTACTTTGAAGAGATTATTTGATGCATAATAAGTATTATAAAAAAAAACATTGGTTAATGAGACGTATTTTTTTTTATTGTTATTAAGTAAAAAAACATTATTAAGTATACAAATTGCAATATCTATTTTTCGTTTCCTTGTAAACAACAATCATAAGAATTTCTTCGCAGCCTTCAATTACTAATTATAATTTAAAATACATTTCTCTATTTCTATTATTAGTTTGTAATGATTTATATAAATAATTATTTAATGAGTAATTATGAAGGAATTCTTTTTATAATAGTTATCTTAAATAGATGGGCTTTCAGACTTCACAGGACAATCTAGGTCAAAGGAATTCCATACTTTTATATTACTGTATTTGTATTACTTTCTTAAGACATTCCTTAGAGTTAGATACAAATACACGATGAATAAAAGAATACTGAGGGGGAAAGTATTACAGATTTCAACGATAATTTTGTTCGACATTCAAAATAGAAATTGGTCGGTGAGTTTGTGTAGTAGACGTTTTACGATCATTTTATACCTTCACAAAAGTCGCTTGAAGGCATCACTTATGTACATTAAATAGATGTAATCCTAAGCAAATATAGAAAGTCTAAACTCCTTTCTTGAAACCGTTTCTTTCCTTAAAAAGTTTACTCGACAAATGTAATTCGTTTCAAGGGGACTTATCTCGGTACTTTGAATTTTTGGAGAACCCTTCAAAGGGTTTTGGGTCCATTTCGCTTATTCCGCAGAGACCATCTGTTTGCGCCTTATCTAAACTCCCTTAGTCCTGATTAGGTCACCAGAACACTTCTGTGTTACTGCCAAGAGGAAGACAAGGGAATAGAGGAAAAATTACCCTATCAATGCCGTTGTTTTGTAGGAAAACTCAAACAATAACGAGTTGTATTAAGGCTTAAAGTCGTTACAGGTCACGACAATCGAGTTCAGCTAATAATAACCCGACATCGCAAAAGAGTATTGATTTTTAGCGCGTTGTTAAGTTTGCGTGATAAGAAAATAGTAAAACCTAGATAGAGCCTTTAATAAACTTTGAAATAGCTTAGCAATGAAATAGTCTATCGCCAATAGGAAACTTCGTTTTGTAGATAAATATTTGTGTTTTCTTACGAAGCGTATAGCCGATTGATCGGGAATGGGAAAATATTTTTTGAACGAACAGAGCGGCCATGTTTGTTTCTCGATCTATCTCCGATATTTTTATTATATCCTCCGGTTATATATCTCGATCGAGGGAAATGTTGGATTGTAAATAATCGTATGTGTGTATCAGAAAAGAAGTCATATAATCTAGAATGATATTGATTAAAAGATGTTGTAGATTTAATAAGTCACTGGTAGTTATCACGCAACCAAAAAGGATAATTCTATAGAGAGGTATCGTAAATTTGAAAACTCCACTGCACTGTGTCAGAAGCTACTACCATCCTTCCAACTTTACTGCAATAAAATTCAAAACTAAACAATAAATATAGGAGCTGCATCACAGAATGATCATTCACACCATCCCGTACCACAATCACGTACGAATGAAATATCTAGCGACATTTCTAGTCTGTAATATATTCTAGAACCGTCTAGAACTATCATCTGTCGGCTAAACTACGAAATAGTACGTATCCAGTAGATAAACGTAAGATGTAATAAACATTGTAGAAAGCATTGTAGGTACGTTTCAAGAAATGCTGAAAAATACATTCAGAGGAGAAGTTAGTGGACGGTAGTAGAGAATTTTATTTGTTGAAAATTTTCCATTTGGATTTTGCTATCGTAATTCTTTTGGATAAAGAAGTATTTACGTTGAGAAACCCTTGTAATAAGAGGGTCTGTTGTATGAAGAGATAAAAACGGGACACTTTTCAGAGCACCGGAATTTCTTGGTGTTTATCTACTACTGAAAATTCACATTAAAACATCTTCCCAACTCAAGGAGTCGTAAGATAATCAAATAAATTCTAAAATGGAATAACGTCAACCGAACTATTCATAAGTGATTGTTCAAAATGGCATCACACCCTGCCTTGTGCCATAAAACTGTAACGAGTAAAGATAGCACGTAGTACAAGCTTGTCAAATCTATCCATCAATCTAAAATTGAAGTCTCAAGGTTACCAGTCGGTTCGCCGCTAGATTCAATACCCATTTAGCTTGTCAGTTTGAAAAAATGTAGTTCATTATGATGGATCTATTGATGTGACGATAGATTGGTTTTGGTTTTTTCATTTTACTTTCAACTTTAGCCATTATGTTTTTGAGTGTTATTTTACTTTTTAAGTTTGCAGTGTTGTCTTTCTATCGGTGTATTTACAAACAGTTGACTGCAAATCATTTGTGATTTGTACTTATTCATCTGTCAGCTAATCTTTCGTGGCCTTGTTTTCTAGAATTCACCTGTAGGTACCTACTATACTAAAAATAAATTACAAGAAAAAAGCATAAGCGACAAAAATATAAAGATATATTTTCGGTGATAGTTGTTAGAAATAGTCGTTAAAAAATTCCCAAGGCAACTGTCATGGCCGTTCTTGCGCGTGACCTGACACGCACTAACGAGAAGAGGATGTCCCTTACTATTGTAATAAACCTGCTTCGTAAACTAATTTTTATCTGCCCTCCATTATAATATTATATATATTTACATATATTCATTATACTTTGCATTTCGGAATGTATTCCGAAATCTGAAAATACTCCAACGAAATATTTGCTTTCAATTTTCAGGTCTTAGGTACAATATGTTACCAATTGTTGACATTTACGTGTTAAAGGCAGACGCCATTCTGATTTATGATAAATATTTAACAGATCTTGTGTAGAATGACAAAATACTTATCTACATATTTACTCATGCGATAGGACTGTCAACAAACAAGATGGCATCAAAATATATTTATATTTAACACCATGGCGGGGAAAATTACGCACTTATCTTTGTTATTAAACCTTATCTTATATTCTTTCCGATCTTTCTTCCTTTCTATGTAATCGATTATGAGATCTTAAACGCTTCATATCTTGTGCGGAACCATTATTACTATAGATATTGTACGTTTAGATAGAACGTGCTTACAACACTATTCGTTCAGAGTCGCGACACGTCGGAAGGCCAAAGTTAATTCAGTGCGGAAACGTTAGCCAACAGCTAGACCCGGGATCGACGACCGGATACCACAATAAACCACAGTAACTATCCTCATTTGGCGACGACTATTAACTAAATCATCAATCAAAATATAGGCCATGCTTACATTATTTTTATCAACTCGCACTCGATCGAATTGAAATCGATTTATACGCGGAATCGTCTTCAAACTAATCGCCATTTAAATATTAGATCTGCAAATCATCGAGGAGCGACTATTCTGAGTAGCGAATCGATTCAATTTCATTGATTTGTTTCGATTAGGTACGTTGCATAACAAAATCGATTTGTGAATTTACTTGCTATAAACGCTGTTGACTGCGGAAAATGTATTTACGTAGGTAGTTATTATTTGGCCAGTTTGTTCTCATTGCCACGGCCATTATTAGAGGTCGTCTTGAATGACCGAAGTTACCTACAATTTTAGCTCTATTTAACCTCTAGCGGTTCTATGCAATGAAACCGAAAACTGCTGTTCTACTTGATTAAACAAACCGTTGGTTATGTAGCTAATTATAACTTTAAAACGAAGCTATTTAAAGTTTGTGTATACAATCAATTTATATGTTATTTTTCTCTTGTCCACAGTGATAACAAACATGCATATTGAAGTGCAAGTCGCCCTAAATTTCGTCATATCGTACCTGTACAACAAGTTACCAAGACGGCGGGTCAACATCTTCGGTGAGGAGTTGGAGAAGGCATTGAAGGACAAGTTCAGGGGGCACTGGTACCCCGACAGGCCATGCAGAGGCTCGGCGTTCCGGTGCCTGAAGACGGGAGGCCCACTAGACCCCGTCCTAGAGAGAGCAGCGCGAGAGTCAGGAGTGCCCGTGAGAGATGTCCTAGAACACCTACCGCGGGACCTCGCCGTCTGGGTTGATCCAGGTGAGGATTATTCGAGTTAATCTGTACGTTAAACTTCAACAACAAAAACAGCATGTACGTAAATGTAGGTGAACAAACAAATTGTAAATTTAACAGTAAAACTTTGCTCCCATTGCAATACAAATCAAAAACATACACCGACCCAAATAAAGTTGTGCATTGAAAAGTTGAAATTGTTACACAGCTCAGGAAATTGTTTCTAGTTTTGCTGTGGGAAAATTTTGATAAACGTCACCAGCAATGAAGTTCTGACGCTATCCCAGCATCGTTTCACTTGGCTTCGTCGTTTGCCAAATGTGTGACGTCACACACTATCTATGTAGACCAAGTTTTATCATCACTACATACATAATATGTCTGTTGTCAAGATACGTACATAGTGCGCATATAATTACAATTCCCATTAGAGCAGTTTCAATTATGTCGCCATAGCAATGTTCTGATATTGATCTTATCACCCTATTTTTGGCAAAACATATTCCAAAGGCCAATTGATATTGATGAGTAAATAAAAACTATACGACAGGAAAAACCGCTTCAATCTGTTTGCGGATGATGTAGAATAATACTCAAGCGCTGTCTGCATCCTCAATATAGGAAGATATCTAATAGCAGTACGTGGTAGCTGATAATTGTGATTAATTGCCTTTCATGCGTTTAGCGATAATGTGAGAGCATTAAGTGCAAACAACTCAATTATGTAGTGGTAGTCGTTAAACTAAATAACAATGCAATTGTCACAGTAGGCCGTAAGTAGAGCCTAGTACGCATAAGTAATGGCGTATTGCATAACACGCAAACGCAAAAGAAATGAGGTCGACAAACAGACAATTTATGCTCCGAGAGCAATAATAAAGATTGTTGTTAGATATGTCTCTTGAATACAACAGGACGTAGTATTCATACTGGACTAGAAACAAGCCGTCAAAACTTGCAAAAGTTAGACTGTTCTAGAAACAAATCAAAAAGTTAGGAATAAACCGAGTGAAACTGAATAACTTGTACGATCGAGACGCTTTGGGAAAGCTTTATAAAAACATGGAGCTCATGTGTGCTCAATGCGAAACCGATATCTCGAAATGAATCTTGAAAAAAGATCGAGATCGAAGTAATGTAATTCCTGACACAATTTCACGAAGTTCAGTGCAGAGATTGGATAGCGAACGAAATAAAGATGAGACTTGTTTTGTGTTACAGGCGAAGTATCATACCGCATTGGGGAAAAGGGTGCGGTGAAGGTGCTCTTCAGTAGCGACGAGCGAGCAGCCGACGAGAGGACCGACCGAGAGGTAAGAACAACATCCAAACTGACTAGACACATAAATTACTAGTTCACCAACATTCATAAACAGTTCGTACCGAATGGAAACAACAATTTATAACATTTATTACTTCTGAAGACAATAGAATAAATTAGTACTGTCTGACTATGTTTTGGCAGTAAACTACGTCAGGTGGCGTATCTAACCCAGTTATCAATGACAAATCGTTCATGGTGGGATGTCCAAAGAGATTTCAAGACGTCATCATCTGCGTTTTTTGGCTTTGCTTCGAAGTTAATATTTGTACCTATACACAACTGCCCTCAGAACCTACTAGGTTCTGAGTGTTATTCTGTCTTCCAAGATTAGTATATCTACCTACTCATTTGAAATCCCTTATAGTACCTACTTACGGTCCCATACGGATAGGTCGTTTAAATCGACTACCTACTAATAAGCAACTTTCAATTTCAGGTAACCCGTGCGTTCAACCCTGAGGCGCAGTGCTTCCGGCCCGTTGAGCCAGCAGCGGCGCCATCACCGCCCGCGCCAGCTGCCTTTTCTCCAGCGCCACCCTTCCGGGCGCAACCTCTTACATTCACGACAGCGACTTTTGCGCAGACCAAGTTCGGAAGCACGAAGCTGAAGACGAGCAGCAAACGCGCGAACCGCATGTCTCCCACCGAGTTCAGCAACTACATCAAGCAGCGCGCGATGCAGCAGCAGCTGGCGGCGCGCGCGCTGTCGCCCGCCTCGGACCCCGCGGCGTACTTCGTCGCGCGGCGCGAGCCCGCCCCGTCCTCCGCGCCCCCGTACCCGCCGGCGCCGGCGCACCTGCTGCTCGCCAACTGAGCCGCGCATGCGCGCTAGCCGCACCGCGCGACCCGCTCATAGAGTCTTTACTTTTTTACGAGAGAGACGCGCGCCGCGATTTATTTTTTTATTTTCCGCGGGGGCGTCCCGCGCCGCCCGCCGCTTGTGATATCCGTACGATTTTCCATAACTTTTTGTATTCTCGTTCGTTACGTCGATGTGTAAATTTATCGATAGGAGCAATAATCTGCCGCGCGACTCGCCGGCGATTTATTTTCGTAATATTTAATGCTGAGTCAAGTTTTTGATGTCTTCGTTCGATATCGATATATTCGTAGGGTGTAAGGGAGCGAGAGGCCGACTGGCCGCGTGCGCTTACGACGACGTACCTTCTAGAGCGAGCCTGTATACATACGTCCTCCGATCTAAGAGAAATACTGATATTTAAAATATGTATACATAATATATATTCGTACGCGATAATCGTCTAATTTTTCACGTGGAAACGAGGCCAATAGAGAAATTACGTATTTTTAATATTGAAATTGATAAATAATTCATACTTACTATTATAGTGTACTAGTACCTACGTATTGTACTCGTAATAAATAATTGCATATCCGGTGGGACGTGGTCGGACGGCGGCGGGCCGCCCGAAGGCGTCGGAGATCTCACAAATAGTGATAATGAGCATCACTCGTACGATTGTGTACCCTTGTAATAATTATTATTATAATACTATACATAATATATTATAGGTTTAGCTACGTTTCAATCTAACAGTATTTTTTTAAGAAGATATTAGTCCTTGTGTACATTTGCCGGTCGACCGCGTCGCGGCGCCCGGCCTTAGCGTGTATGGTATACTTATATTGTTATAAAAGACATGAATATGGATAAATGATAGAAAAAATATTTCTCAATTCATTAAGAATAACGGGTGCATGCAAATTCATAAATAAATACTATGTGTTATTTATCTTTTTTATATTTCACTTGGCGGTCGGTGCAGTTTGTCAATGGTCAGTGGTGTAGGTGCAGGCAGGTATGCCAGTGTTGTATCAGCGCACTGCACGCCCGCGTTCCATGCACAACACTCACTATTTTGTACCTAAACTGATATGTACAACTATTTTTTACTATTTTTATATTTTGATTTAGAATTAAGCCTAGTTGTATGGTTTCAACCTTAACGTGTACTTTATTAACGCCCTATTATTAAAATATTACGTAATAATATGTAATAATATCGGTGATTATGATTGTCCATTGAGAAACTGACCGAAATGCTACAGTATTTTGTAGATAAAATCTATAATGTAAGTTTAATAATAATACAACTTAGCGTAAAGAGATTTTTTATTATAAAGATACTTTTTATTTTTCTTTCTTTTGTAAGATATATTCGATGGAAGTGTTAAAGATAATATAATATTTGCATAATATAGTAAATGCGGCTCTCCATGTCCGCTAATATAATTAGTCAATAATAATTTTTCATATTGTTGTACGACTTTTTAAGTTTATATTAAAATGTTTTGTGCAATCTATTATGTGTCTTATTAAAGGCCTGCGCAGACGAAGTACTTTTGTCCCTGGAGGACAAAAATCCCTGTACGGTGGAAAAAATGTCCTCCGAGGACTTGCCAAGGACTTAACGCAGACGGTGTGCGGTCATTTGTTGCCCAGAAGTGAAGCGCACCGCACGCTATGGAAGCAAATATTCTGAAATTGCGTTGTGTTATAATTTACATACACTTTAAGAATAAAAAAAGACGTTTTAAAAGAAAATACTGGGTCCATCCCTTTATTTCAGATCGATTATTGAATGGATATTTTCATGTGAAGCATGGTCAGTTAAAACAATATCCAGAAAGATTTTTCAAATATTATAAAATGTCGGTGGGAACTTTTGATGAGTTGCTGTCAATTTTGGAACCTGCTATAAGTCATTCTGAAACAGTGATGAGGAAATGTATTGGTCCAGAAGAGAGACTGTCAGTAACTTTAAAGTAAGTAAATAAATGCATTTCCAGTTCGTAATAATTATTTAATCATCTTAGATTTGGTAATCATCATCAATCACAATAAAATATTTTTTCACATTAGGTACAACTTTTCATAATTTTTTTGGAAGGATGCATAATTATTAATCAGTCTTTATGTTATATAATAAATCTACCATAATTAAAGTACCTACTGAGGCTTGAGCCAGACACTTAATTTTCTTCATCGCCATCGCCAAGACTGAATAAAGTGTCGCAGGTATCATTTTCTGGAGATGTGATTAAAACGTAATCCCGATGCACAGGTGTTGGTGTATAAGATACTACATTTGAGAGCTGTGATGTCGATGGTTGAGGAATATATTCAAGATTTTCAGACAAGTCATTTGCGGTGGTGTACGATACAGACTGGATTGGATTATTAAAACGATTTTGAATAGATGACAGCGGCTCTCTCCTAGGTGTTTCATTTCTAACATTAGGTGTTACGGTCATTTGAGAAAATCTTGAATTGTCGTTTGATGATTGCTTAAAATTTAAAATTAACTTTAAAATTTCCATTCTCAATAATAATTTTTGTTCTTCAGAAAATCCCTTCATATATGAAGTAAGCGAACGTAAAAAAAACTCATCTTCGTCTTGCCCGCTATCGCATGTTTTTGATTTAGAAAGCATTTGATTACCTTCTTTAAGTAGAGTTACTATTTCTTCATCGGTGTTTTTGCTCACCGTTCTTGGTTTTGAAAACCTTGCTTCAGCTTGAGAAGTTATATCTCTCCTATTTTCCACATTGCTCAGCTCAGGTTCATCGTTTTCAATAGATCCTTCTGTATCTACAATTTCTGTAAAAGGCAACAAAAATAGAAGAGAATCGAAGTAGGTACATGTATTTCCTCCTCTTCTTGGCTGCACTTCCAGACGGCGTATTTTTTTGGGCGGCGAGTTCTCTTCTAAAACAATGTCTAAGAGAAGTCCATCTCTTCTGTAACTCCTTTCCTGCAAAATAAAATGACAATATAAAAGGCTGCAAGATTTTTAATTTCTCCGGTTTATTTTACAGGTATTTAGCACGAGGTTTATCGTTTGTTGATCTTGAAGAAGACTACTTAATTGGAGCATCTACTATACGTTCTATCGTTAAAGAAACTTGTACAGCAATTTGGCAGCTGTGTAAAAATGCATGTTTTCCTGCCTTTAATGAGGAAAGATGGCTAGAGATTGCAAGTGAATTCTACAGAAAAACTCAATTCCCAAATTGTTTGGGAGCTGTGGACGGTAAACATATTCGCTTAAAGATGCCACCAAACTCAGGTTCAAATTATTTCAATTACAAATCATATTTTTCTACAGTCTTAATGGCGGTTGTTGATGCTGACTATTGTTTTACATTCATTGATGTCGGAGCGTATGGGAAACATAGTGATTCAAACATATTTAAAAATTCCAATTTAGAAAAGGGTATTTCAAGTGGTTCAATACCCCTTCCCAATAATCATAATCTTCCTAATGATGAGAACGGAAATCCCATGCCTTTCGTTTTTGTTGGAGACGAAGCGTTTGCTGTTTCAAATCATGTGATGAGGCCCTACCCTGATCGCAATTTAAGTCCAAAGCAGCGCATTTTCAATTATCGTCTATCAAGAGCACGAAGAATAGTTGAAAATGCATTCGGTATTTTGAGTAATAAATGGGCAATATTTCAAAGAAGTTTGAATGTTGATATGAAATTTGCAATAACAATAATAAAAGCTGCATGTACTCTTCATAATTTTGTCCGTAAAAGGGATGGCATTCATTTTGAAGATACACTGTATTCTTGTACTTTCGAGGATATACCTCCAGTTGGTGTAAGAGGTACAGATACTGGTATCGAAACTCGAAATTACATGGCCAATTACTTTACGTCTCCTCAAGGATCTGTACCATGGCAGTATAACCAAATTTAATAAATAAGTGGCAACTTTCCTGAATAAAAACAATAAATCACTAAATACGCATTTTATTGAAAATCCGAAAAACTTACCATATTTGGTTTTGTCCTCACTCGACATTAAATCCCAAACTGAAGAGGAATAAACTTCCTGACATACCTCGTTCCACAACTTTTTCTTTAAATTTCGGTCGTGATACTCTTTTCTTGACGTATCATATAATGGAGTTCTTTTTTCAATCTCACTTATTAAAATTTTACAATCGATATCGTGCGCCATTGTTTGTCGTGCACGCGTGCGTCACCATCGAGCGGTCAATGCAGACTAAAGTTCGCTGTGTGCGTTGCTGGGCCTAGTCACGTTGGTTCTATTTTTTTCGGGGACTCCCCCGTACTTTTGTCTAGTCCGGTCCCTCGGTGTCCTCGGTGGTTCGGGGGACTTTTTGTACGGGGTACTTTTAATCCTTTGTGTGCGTTATTCCGTACAGTTATAAGAGATCTATAATGAGGGACAAAAAAGTACCCGGGGGACAGTACCTCGTCTGCGCAGGCCTTAAAACCCTTTACAATGCCCACAATGGAATAGTGGAAGATACACATAACAATTCCAAAACCTGTATTGCTTATGCTGAATTTACATAAAACAAACTACGTTTGGAGACAAGATGCTACACAAAAACAAAAAAAAAATAAGGCTTATGACATTTGCATAAAATGTCAAACGTCGCCTTGTGAGTGTAAAAATAAAGGATCAGACAACAGAATATGAAAATGAAAGTCATAAATAATAATCATTAAGTCACTTTATTATCAAACCACAAAGATGACAAAAGTGTACCTCATCTATGGACAATATTCAACCACATTCATTACAGACGCCGTCAAGTACAAAAATATTTATGCAATAATGAACCTTCTGGCTTTAGTACTCTTATAATAAAACATAAAATATCCAATACATTAAGTTCTTAAAACGATAATACGAATAAAGAGGAATAAAATTCTAGATGACCATTTCATATTAATTGATTTGAATACTATATTATGTGCGCTTTGGTCTACGACTCAAGATTTAAAATTGGTTAATTAGATCAACCAACAACCTTACCACTAGTCAACATACAATGTTAAAGTTTATTTTAAGAATACAGCAGACACAAGAGGATAAAAAAGAGGATCTTTACTCGACAATTTGCAGTAAACAGTCTTCATATTTCACGGCGTCCCAACCAATGATACACAATTGACTATTTTCATTAACAAATTTTAACTTTTATATAAAATCGTACTCAATCCGGGAAGGAAACCTTACACTTCATATCACTTAATTTGTACATCACTCGAGAAATGCGAAGTTATCAAAACACCGTCAAGGAACAGAGCTTCATTGTTTAAACATACAAGTCATTCAATTATTTCTGCTCAAATTGATTATGTACTTATTTACACTGAAATATAATATTATAGAGGAATGATAACTAAATATTTTGAATAACATAATCATGAATCAGGTGGTGATAAAAAACATTTAATACCATATTTTTATCGTGATCGCTAATATCACAACTACAAACTAAATTTGAAATATAAATTCCATCATTATTTTGAAGTATATATTTACAGTGTACAATTTAAAGATACACTTTAATTTACAGGAACATTTTAATATCTATTTAGAATTTATGATATTATTATATTCAGTTATCGTTAAAGAAAACGGAAGATATATTTGGCACTGGTTGACAGTGGAAACAGAACTTCATGCGCTAAAGTATAAAGACATTAAAATATCCAAAGTCTTTAGATGAACCCTTAAATGTTACTTTACATCATTTCCAGATAATTAGGCCTTTATCACCAACTACCTACTGTTACAAAATTATATTTGTCACCATAGATGAGGTGATATGCCCTAAGTGGTTCACATAGAATATATATTAAAATTACTAAAAATAATCAGTACATTTTAGTGAAACAGAAATGACCTTACCATATTATACCAAATCAACTCATTAAATCCCAAATTACAATTAAAATAACTATTTAATATTTACAAAATAAGCAACTAACGTAATTTAAAGAAAAACGCCTAAGACCATAATGTCGATTTAAAAAATAATCATACATAATAAGAAACAAATTCTTATACAAATAAACACTGATTGACTGATTTTGACTATGTTTCACAATTTTGGCCCGTTATTCCAATATTCAAAAATAGAATAGTTTGCTATCATTATTTACTTAATTATCATAATTTATTTAGTAAATCATGATAAGTACTTACATTACTATAGACATTAGTGTCCAAGTGAGTCCACATATACTATTACATCAAATCGAATATGTAACAGTCTTCATATCACTATGGACAGAATAGTAATAATAAATAACACAATTCGTGAGCAAAGGCTTTACCAGAAAAAAGAAAGGCAAAATAAAACGTGGTTCTACTCCAAATCAATATTTAAGAAAATACATCATATGGCGACAGAACAATTGTGCCTGTATGGAACAAATGTATATACAATGTAAAGCCGTTGGTATCAAACGTACGGACACCACAATAGTAGAA